TGTACATTGGATCACATCACTGTGCAGTACAAGTGTGGCTTTTACTAAAGAAGGGATTATTTTCTAGGGTTTTCAATATAGTTTAAGTAAACTATTTATATTCGCAACACACGATAAACCCTGCAGGAGAGAATATTTGTAAAAATGGTGCATGGGGTGCTAGAATCCGGATCTACCTGCTCCCTAAGGGGATGACCTAGCAGCCACCCGGGGAGTTCCGATGCTTAGCTCAGCACACAGCTCTAGGCAGCAGGACATAGTGGTTAGAACAGCCAACCTCGACCCCAGAGCAGTCTCTGGGCCTTAGGCAAGTTCTGAATCTGCTGCTTCCCGTGTGGACAACTCAGACGTGGAAGTTGACACATGCATTGGCGAAGGATCTTATTGATTAGGATTCTCCAATCACCTTGGAGTGCAACAAGAAAATGTGGGAAATCTCCTGTCCCATACAGCCATAAATCCTGGTTGACCTCAAAATGGGGGTTTCTAAGATATGGCATTTCTTCTTCCACTTTACCCTCAAACAGGCCTAGACAATAGGTAGAGTGGTCCACATACTTTTACTCAAGTACGGCCTGAGGGTTGGGTACATCAGCATTAGCTAACCCAGGAGAGTCTCAGGTCCCACCCAGATCTACCTCATGAAGATCTTTTTCAGTTCAACTCCAGGAGAAATTTAAGCAAATGCAAGTTTAAAAGTATTGAAGAAACACTTCTCAACCATTAGGTACTGACCTTGGCCTTGGAATGGAAAAAGGACTTGGGGAAGAGTTGAATGGGCAGGTGAGATGTGAAAATGCGTGGTCCCTCGCTGTTCTGCAATATTTCGTATCCATGTGCAGTCTCAACCCAGGGTGCACGCTGCCAGTTGGGCACGGATTGGACCCACTTGGGATCCCCTTTGGAATGAATCAGGCAGACAATCTCCATCAACCAGTTGGTTCCTGAACAAAGAAGAAAGAGTGACTGACAGTCACCTGTTCCAACATGAGTTGTATAAACAATACTGTTGGAGTTTGCACAACATAAACTTGCATGTCACCACCATGTTTAAGCACATGTCACAGCTGTCGAGTGATGTTTAGTAGGTTCTCATTGTTGCTAAATGTTCCAAAATTTTTCTAACAATAAGCAAGATTTCTATGCAGCAAACCAGGCCCTAGCAACTGCACTTTACACCCTGTGGAAAGCAGCACTTTACTTCCTGTTTCTATGAATTTGAGTAGTCCAAGTATTTCACATAAGCGGAATCGTATAATAGTTCTCATTGTGAGATTGGCTTATTTCATTTACTTAATAATGTCAAGATTCACCCAAGTTGTGGCATGTGTCATAATTTTCTTATTTGAGGACATGATATTCCATTGTAAACTTCCCATTTGTTTATGCGTCCATCTGGCAGCAGGTATATGAGTGTCTTTTTGGTTTCTGGCAATAGATATTTATATGGTTTCTTTCAATATTTGCTGAAGCCCTTTTACTAAACCCCATTGTCCTTGGCTTCTAATGGCATGTGACTTCCAGTGCCATCCTCTCCCACCTCCGTGGTCATCCACAGGCTAGACGCTCCCTTTGTACTCCCTGGTTGCATTTCTGTGGTACCTTAGATGTTCCATCTGGGTTCTCATCTGCCTGTGCAATTGGTGGGCTGCATCCTTTGTGCTGCTCCTTGCTTCTCAAAGCACTGTATGGGTTCTGGCACAGTGAGAGCTTTCCACGCACCTGGTGTGAAGCTCTAGACATAGGCTCCTCATGACCCCTTCATGAGCCTCCTTCCTTACCTGATTTAGGATAAGTCACTGTTATTACATCTTCATCCTTCACCACAAACTTGTCCCGTACTTCTCTTAAGACTTCAGGTTTGAAATCCGGTACAGGGAATGCTATCCCTTCAAACCACACATAGCCATCTGCCATGACAATGAGCTCCTTATGCCTTGTGTAGAGTCCCCGCTGTCTCAGCTGCTAGGTGGTAACTGTTTGTAGTTAAAAGCTAACCCTCTTTGTTTTATCGAGAATATCCTGGAAAATAATCAGAAGCAAAAATCTGTGGCTCGTGATTGCAAAGTTTTCTGTATTGAGAAATTGTTTACTTTTTCAGAGGTAAATTTGGTGTTTGAGTTTCATTTCAGGACATGAACCAGACCTTCAATAACAAGTGCAAAGATATGGACATATGGACATAGTTTGAAAATTATTAAGTAAACTTCACTGTGTGCAACATTTTTAAATCTATAAAATGTTAGAAGAGCTAGGCATCGAAGGGCCTGCCTGTAATTTTGGAACTTGGAAGGCTGAGGTAGGAAGATCAGCAGGAGTTCAAGCCAGCCTGAGGAACATAGCACAATTCTGTTTCAAAAAAAAAAAATGTTGGAAGAAAGTACAGACAGTCCCAAGGACCATTCTTTAATAAGATTATCTTTGTTTTTCTCTTTCATGTCCCATTTTTCTTTCACATCATGTCTTTCCATGGATTGATGCATATAGTTATCAATGTTTTTACCAGTTGGGTCAATGCCTCCCATGAACTCGTTATGCACTTTGATGGTATCTGCTGCTGAACTTTGATCTTATGTTGCAGTTACTAGGAGTATTGATTGAGGACATAGTGAATCAATACCAGCCCCAGAGGAGGCAGGAGTGACAATGCTGTTATCACTCCTTTGGTAGACAATATTGCCTTTGCCATTGATTCAGTAATCCAGTGTGTTCCTTTCTTTCTTCTTTAGAGCTACATCTGATTCCAATGGATCTTTTTTTTTTTTTTTTTTGGTATCGGAGATTGAACTTGGGTC